TCCTGCGACCCGAACTCCGACCCGCGACGAAGCAGTCCAGTTCCGACGAGTTTCCTCCACCTCAGCTCAAACCCGCAGCCCGCCTCCCAGATCCGGCGACCCGCGACCTGTTCCGCAGCTCGGGTTCAGCTCCGCCGCCTCGCCTCCACGACGCCGCCAGCGAACCAGAACCGAGCAGCTCTTCTAAGTCCCGCCGGCGAGCTCTCAAATCGAGCCCAGCGACCCGACCACGAGCCCAGCACACCCGACCCAGCTGCTGCAAGTCCAGATCTGCTGCTTCTTTGACCAGGCTGCTGCTGTCTTTGACCGGGTCAAACAGCATCCCTCAGCTCCCAAAATCCGGTCCAAACAGCTCCTAGTTGGACCGGTCCGGCCCGACCGGCTTCTTGCTCCGTTTTTCTTCCATTTTCTAGTCCGATCCGCTCTTTTCCGATCTCGTGAGGTATAATATCTAAAGACTTGAACGATATGGGATAAATTGATGATAAAAACGAGCTAAAAATTAATTGAGATGTGGATTTGAGTTGGATCGGTATACACGAGCTTAAAGCGAGTAAATTGATATTTTCGATAAGCGCGTTAAAAATTTCGAAAAAAATATGATAAAATTCGTATAGCTGACTTGAGGCCTAGGTTTTAATTTCGTAATTTTCGGTGCTCGTTTAGTATGTTAACTGGATTTTTGAATATGTAGCTAAAATGCCCAGTTTTTGATAAATATGAAAAGACCTCGGAATTCGATGAAACTTTCACGAAAAATCCTATAAATGATGAATATGTCGTGGTTTAAATTTCATAATTTTTAGAGGTTGTTTGGCATGGCTACAAATTCGAGACTTTAGCTGCTTTGGTGAAAACCCTAGATTTTATCCGGTTGAGATTTAGCTGAAATTACTGGGAATCGAGTTGAAGCTTAAAGTATGAGTTTTTGACTTGAACCGAGATAGATAGCCGGTTGAGTAAAGAACCCTAGTCTGGCCTTTTTTCGGTCAGTCCGGATGAACTCTAGATCCGGGTAGAAAAGTTGTGCGTCGACTGATGTCGTGTCCGTGCGTATGCACCCGGACCACGATTAAGTCGAGTTGCACCCAGTCAGATAAATAAGATCAGATCAGTCAGATAAGTTAGATCAGATAAATCAGATGAGCAGTCCAGACTTAGAAATATTTCAGAGAACCCTAGAATGCCTCAAAGTCAGCAAATCTTTTCAGATCAGCTCAGAGCATCTAAATCCAGATTTAATGATATTTTAATCGAGCGAGAGAGAACCGATTAAGATTTATTAATAATAAGAATCAAGTTTTATTTGAGCTTAGTACTTAGTACATTTTGCTCGAATATTTATGTAGCTTAA